CATGATGATATCTTTAATTCTCTAATTTTGTTGAATATTTTTGTAATTTTTGGTAAAAAGTGATATTTTCGACTTCTTGTTGAAAACCGCAAGTCCAATTACTTTGATATATTATACATATAGGTACTACATGTGGACCTCTTTCAGATTTGTTCATTTTCTAATGATATCTTCTGTTCTTTAATTGCTATGTGCATCGCTAACAGCGGAGCTATCTCAGCCGACAGGCTGCTTGTTTCTAATGATTTGGTGATTTTTACGTTTGTGTATTTTGACGCTTGAAAGACAGGTTTCGATAATAGCAACACAAGTTGTGTCCCCCATTGCATCGCAATGCTATCAGCTGGCAATATGTCACACTGATCGTTAAATTGTTTACTCCAGTATTAAAATGCCCATGAAGAAAAAAGTGCTTGAAAACATTGAAATTTATGCACAAAAGAGAACAAAATAAATTGTGACCTTGTTTTGCGTGAAAATTAAGTCGCACTATAGGGCCTTCTATTCCTTCTACGTAAAAAAATATGGCCATGTTTGAAATATAAAAGTTTATTTCAAGTTTATTTTCATTTACAACTGTATATTATGGGTATGTGTGTGTTTTCTTTTGTTTTGTGTTTTTTTTTTCACTCCCCCGGCATGCTGGATACGTCTACGTTTCATCGCACTTGATGTAAGTAAACAGAGAGCCAGGATAGGAAGTCGCACACCCCAGCACCGCACTGAGGCCAGCAACTCATTTCCATATCAATAAGGTTATCTTGTTAATCAAAGAGACACGTAAACAAATTTCGGATCGTTTTTATTAGTTGACAAAGCTCCAAAACTTTAAAACTATAAAAAACCGTCTAGGTATTCTGCGCTATGAAATTTGCTGCCTCAACATTAACTTTACCATAATGTGCAATTATAAAAGTGTATCAGCAATATTACATAAGCACACAATAAAGCTAGTAAAAAACATTCTTACAATTGCATAACTTAGTAAATTGTAGAAAAGGTACATGTTAAACATGCTGTACGTCTAAATAATTATTTCTGATTTGGTTAACGCTCAAGGTTCAGATAACCTATAAGCATGGTATAAGTAACCTTTACAAATAAAATTGGTATTTACAGTTTGTCTTTGTCGGAGCTGTATAGCACCGTATATAGCATGCTCAGATTACAACGCCGTAACGCATTATATTATTCTGTTATATATTCACTGAAATATTCACTAATAAACATGGAATACATTTGTTTATTTGAAGCAGGGGAGTCGTCACCCGCGCATGCGTCAGATGGCCATAGTGTGTACAAGTAATTGTTTACAAACACACGTCTATCCATGAGCCCATAGTTCTTAGCGCAGGCAGGCTATGCCACACTCGACTTTTCACGCTATGATTTGCTACATATCAATACGCAGGTGACGACTTTCCATATTAACTTCCATCTGATTTGGTTTTTATTCCACGTCAGAATTGTATTCATTCAGAATACGTTTTAAAGTTTCCGTAAACTCCGCTATATTTAAATATAGTTTGGGTTTTACCCTACCAATGACCTTTGATTTGCATAAATGCATAATCAAGCTTTGGCAGAGGTGATTTGAAGAAGCGCCATCTTTCGTGGAGAGTAGTTATCATCGCTTGGGACATTATTCCCGCGTGTGCGCAGGTGACAACCCTCTCGTTTTAAAACCACGTAGTAATCACAATATAGGATAAGGGGGTCTTCACTCACTGTCATCTAAAAAGTCACTGAATCTCAAACAGTTATTGTTAGTGAAGTAATGCTAAACCCCTATATAATCTGATACTCAATAACCTTCATCAGATTTGTCTTGCCTTGAGAGGGGCTCATAACAACGCAGAATTCCTTCAAAGCGACGACATAGCGTACCAGTCATATACAAAGCTGATCATGCTTTAAGCGCGGTGGTCGTCGCGCAGCGCATGTTCGAATTTCATGTAAATTAACAATGTATTTTACACGCGTTGTATACGTCGCTATGAGTCCCTTATCGAACAGGACGCGGAATGACGACTGCCGGCCTTTTAGCTTCACGAGTTATGCAATCAGTCAAATTTCAACATTGTCACTAGATTTAAGCATTTAAGTTCGGAACTTGACTCTGCATGCATCATACAGCACTGAACTGTTCAGAGAGCACTGTAATACGTTTTGCACCGAACAAGAAGATACTAGTAGATAAACCATGAAATACAAATACCAGTGTAAACTGGTAATTAACGCAGTTATCACTATTTTCCACTGTGGGGTGGTAGGTTTGTGGTGACAAAGGTTTTCAATCATATATTCATTGTCGTAATAGCAATCCTTAATAAACAAAAAAACAACCATTGAATTCACATACGTACGTGTAAACTGGCTGGGCTGTGGTGATAATTAAAAACATAGGAAAAAATAGTTTTGCGAAATTTGGGGTGATATCGAAGTCACAGGCGATTTCGCGTTAACACCTCCGATTCGCGATATTATAAGGTATACTTTGCAATATCCTCGCAATAATCGTATTATACATATTTTCCTACCAGGAATATATCGAGGGAATGTCGAAATCCAAAACGTTAGGTCCGCTCAAACCCTGGGGACAGCCATTTTTTATCATTAGAGGACGCTCACGCGCATAATTACGGAAGCTTGAAGCCTCATTAAAGGCCACGCTTTGTAAAACAATACCAAATATTATTTCGTCATTACGATGTAGCGAAGTTCGTATTTCGAGAAAAAAAAAATTCTCGTTATTACGATGTAGCGAAGTTCGTATTTCGAGATAAATTAAATTGTATCTGGTTATTACGATGTAGCGAAGTTCGTATTTCGAGAAAAATACAATTTTATATCGTTATTACGATGTAGCGAAGTTCGTATTTCGAGATAAATAAAATTGTATCTCGTTATTACAATGTAGCAGAGTTCGCTAACATTTTATTTAGCTCCGTTTTAGTCTTGCTCTCGTATCCATGCAGCGTAACTACATATATGGCTGAAAAGGCTCGCCTTCTGGTTCATTATTTCTTACCCGGGTAAAGCAATGTGGAGATTAAAAGTATACTAGAACTACAGCATGGATTTATAATTAGTTTAAGACACCTGAAACGCCTGTTAAATGGTTTCGGACTGTACAGACGCAAGTTCAAAAGCGATATACTCCATGTTGCTAACTTTATTGAAAGGGAATTGAGAGGTTCAGGACAACTGCATGGGTACAGGTGGATGCACCAGAAATGCACCCAACATGGAATCGTTATTGACAGAGAAACGGTGAGACTTCTCCTTCTTATTCTTAATCCAGAGAGGGTAAATCTCCGTCGCAAAAGACGCTTA